GCTTCAGTCAGACCACATGTTACATCTTATGAATAGCATGTATTTGTCAAGTGTATACATGTCTACTGGGTCTCAAATACACCTCTGTTTTCTTGTCATTTGCACTCAAGTTAAATTGTTGACACCAGCTTCACTGAGTGTCCCAGGCCAGGAGGAGAAGGGTTGTTTCCTTAGGGTTTTTGTTTGCTTAGCTCACATTTGGCAGAAAGTAGACTGAATATTTATTGTATCCCATTAAAGAAATGTTAGAATTCATTAGATGTTCTGTGACAGGCTCCTCTATAGGCTCCTCTATATTTGGGACCAGTATTAAAATCACATTTACATCATCATATTCTCTGCTAAAGGAATTAGTATAGTGAGTATAGCCTGCCATTTTTTAGGATCACCTGTGAGAACAGACAGCAGAGATGTCTTCAGGTCACTGTGGACCCCTTCTCTTTTGAGGATACATCTATTGGTAGCTTCCCCATGCTCTAGTGGGTGACTGTACATTCTGGCAGTTCTGAGTGGACTCAGTGGGCATTTGAAAGCTACACATAAGGAAAAAGTGGCAGGGAATATAGGTGAGCAATTAGAGAGAGGGATGGGGATGAGGCCTATCAGTGCATTATATGCATGTATGAAACTCTCAAATAACAAAGAAAGCAAAAACAGCTTTAAAGGGGAGACAAGTTGGGAGGGAGAATATTGCAGGGCCTTGACAGGAGAAGGAGGGGTGGAATAAGTGACAGATAAGATCATATTTCATTAATCTATGTATGGCATTCTCAAGAATAAAGATGATTAAGAAAAGACAAGTCCAAGCCTCCTACCATAGTGCTGTACAGCTATGTGTGGCTGTCACAGGGAGCTCGGCTGTGCACACATGGTCTTTCCCAGCTATCCCTCAGTCTCAGCGAGCATGGCCTTGTACACCTGGTCATTGCCCGCCATCCCTCAGTCTCAGGGAGCACAGTGAGCATGGCCTTGTACACCTGGTCTCTGCCCGCCATCCCTCAGTCTCAGGGAGCACAGTGAGCATGGCCTTGTACACCTGGTCTCTGCCCGCCATCCCTCAGTCTCAGTGAGCACAGTGAGCATGGCCTTGTACACTTGGTCTCTGCCCGCCATCCCTCAGTCTCAGTGAGCATGGCCATGCACACCTGGTCATTGCCTGCCGTCTCAGTCTTCACCAGGCATCCCTCAGTCTCACTACTGCTTTGTACGTTAATGGATCCTCCCTGTGTGCCCTGGTGTCTCCTGGATTTTCCCTCCTCAGTGAAAAGGCATGCTTTGGTTCTTTAGATCTCCTGCCCACTTTTAAGTTGGGTTGTTTGTTTCCTTACTGCAGCTCTGTGTATTTTGAGTATAAAATCTCTCAGATATGTATTTGGCAAACTGTTTTCATGCAGGGTGTAGCTTGTCTCTCAACTCTCTCAATGATGCCGTCCAGGGAACAGAAGTTTCTAATTTTTATAATGTTCAGCTTGCCCATTTTTTATATCATGGAACTTGATTCTTTGATGCTGAATATAGAAATTTATTGTCAAGCCCAAGGTCCCTAAAGCTTTATCTAATTGCCTTTTAGATATATTGTCATTTTGTATTTAGGTCTGTGATCCACTATGAGAGAAACTGCACGTGTCTATGCCTGCGTGTGTGTGTGTGTGTGTGTGTGTGTGTGTGTGTGTGTGTGTGTAAGATGTCCTCGTTTGGCTTCTCTTGCTGTGATAAACACCATGACTGGGATGAACTTTGAGAAAAGAAGATTTATGTTTCATCTCACTGGTTACAGCCTGTTGTTGAGGAATATCAGGGCAGAAAAATGAAGCAGAAACTCTGGGGAGCAACCACTTACTGGCTCATGTAAAGCTATCTTTCTTATACAGCCAAGTTCCATTTGCCTATGGATAGTACCGCCCACAGTGGACTGGGACTCCTACATCAATTACAGGAAAATGTCTTTTAGTCTTGGCCACAAGCCAATCTGTTCTAGGCAATTCTTCAGTTGAGATTCCCTCTTCCCAGCTAACTATAGCTATATATCAAGTTGACAGCTAGTCATGACAAGTGTGATGTGTCCAGGCTCACTTTTTGCTTCTGCTGCCGATGGACTCCTGTTTGTTTCAGTATGTCCTTTCCCCCACTGAACTTTCCTGACACTGGATATGTGAGCATTAGTTTATGTGTTCTCTGTTGTGACCCAGTGGTCTATGTCTGTACATTGGATCACTGTGGCTTTTTATTAACCTCACACCACTTTGAGTTGGCTATCTTGGACTCTCATAAAGATGACATGTGATAAGGCAGCTGCCTGCTCCAGTGCCTGTTGTCAAGCATTCTTTACCAACCTCCCTCTGGAACCATAAGCCAAAATAAACTCTTCCTTGTGTAAACTGGCTTTGGTCATGGAATTTCATCTGAGGTACAAAAAGTAACTAATAAAAATATACCTTGTTCAAGAAGATGTCAACTTCCCAATTGATCTATGAGTTCGGCGTAATCACAGGCAAAATCCCAGCAAGCTATTTTGTACCCAGTGTCAAACTAATCCTGAACTTGTGTTCAGGAAGGCAAAAGTTACAGAACAGTCAAAAACAGTGCTTCAAGATAAGAAGAGTTGGTTCTCTCCCAGACTCAAACCTTAATACAAAGGTTATAAACCCTCCAAGCCCACCCTTGGTGGATGTCCTCCAGCAGGGCCCCATCTCCTAGTAGTTCCACCTACCCAAACAGTGCCACCAACTGGGGACCAAGTGTTGAAACTCATGAGCTGTGGAGGATGTTTCTCACTGAAGCAACAATACTCCTTTCCAGTTAGAAATGCTTCTATGTCTTCCATCAGAGTTTTGCCGTTTTCTATATACATGCCCCATACATATTTTATTAGAGCTAAATGTTGTTCATATTTTGGATACTGTTTTTTTAAATGTCAAATTCCATTTGTTCACTATTGGTAGCTTGGTCAGTGACTAACAGGTATACTAATCTTGTGTCTTGCAACCTTGCTGAATTTGCTGATTAATTCCAGGAATGGTTGATTTCTTTGGCCTGCAGTTCTTTGGTGCTTTCTATGTGAGCAACCCCGCCACCTGTAAACAGTCATTTTTTCCCTCTGTTTTTTAATGATTTTTTAGTTTTATTTTTATGTGTGTTGGCACTTTGCCTGCTTGTATGTGTGTGAAGGTGTTGGATCCCTTGGAATTGGAGCTACAGACAGTTGTGAACTGCCAAGTGGTTGCTGGAATTGAACTTGGGGCTACAGGAAGAGCAGTCAGTGCTCTTAACTACTGAGCCATCTCTCCAGCTCCTCTCTTCTCAATGTCTATAATTTTTATTGTCTTTTATTTGTCTGCATACACTAGCAAGGTCTTCTAGGATCAAGTTGAGCAGGAGAAAGAGTACCCTTTAGTGACTTTCAGTGTTAGGAAGAAATCCAGTTTTTCTCAATTTAGGATGGTGTGTTAGATGTTTTGATGAGGAACATATAGCCCTCTGTGAGATTTTGTCAGATGGTTTTTATGTGTTGACGGATGTGATTTTTTTAATCTTTACACTCCCTGTGTGCTTGACTACACCAACTGGTTTTTAGATATTGAACTAGTTCCCCTAACCTGTTCAGAGCATAGAACTATCTCTTTGTGTTGTAGGAAGTGATTAGCTAGTATTTCATCAACACCTTTATTTGTTTATTTTTAGACAGGGTCTCACTATTTAGTCCTGGCTGGTCTGGAACCCACAGATACTGTCTCTGCCTCCCAAGTGCTGGGATTAAAGGCATGTGCCAACATGCATGACCCTTGTCAAAGACTGTTGTATCTACATTAATGGAATATGACCAGAGCTATAAACTGAAATGTACCCTTGCCTCCCCAAATTGCTTTGGTCATGGTGTCTTTATCAAAGCAATAGAAAGCAAATTAATACAGTATCTTCTAGATGGTTTAATCCCCAGAAACAGCTGACCTGACAAGGGGTAGCTCTTGCATCCCAGACTGATGGCTGGGAATCCAGCCTGGGACTGATCAAGATCCCCTGAATGTGGGTGTCAGTGAGGAGGCCTAGGCAATCTATGGGGCCTTGGGCAGTAGATCAGTATTTATCCCTGGCATACAAATGGACTTTGGGTGCTCATCCCACAATGAGAGATGCACTCTCACCCTGGACTCTAGAGGGAGGTTCTAGGCCCTACCCTGGATGAAATGACAGACTATGGGGAAATGAGGGGGTATTGGGGAGTTAGTGGGAGGGCATGGGAGGAGGGGAGGGAAAGGGAGAGGGACCTGGGATTGACATGTGAAGCAACCTTGTTTCTAATTTAAATTTAAAAATAAAAAATAATGCAGAGACAATTACCAGCTTAAAAAAAACGAAAAACAAACAAAACAAACCAGTATCTTCTTCTTGAAGGTACACTACGGTCATTTGTGAATACTAATAAATAAGATGTAAAAGTGAATCATTTGGGAGAGGAGAGGTGGGAATGTGAGGGCCCTGCATGTTTGGGCCTCGCCATCTGTAGTTCAGCATTGGGCACTCCAAGCCCTACTTGTGGCTTTCACATTGGATGGGGTAATGCACCTGTAGTGCTGGAGCATTGTTCTTAGCACATGGGACAGCTCTGCACTGCTTGGATCCAGACCAATGGCCAGTAGTGCTTTTTTGTAAGGATTCTCTGTCTGTCATGTGTGTTCACCAATGGGCAGGACTGTCTCCCCAGGGGTCAGTGGGTTCTTGGTTGTGAAGAATCCTAGTATAAGCAGAGTTCTTACTGACAGATGTGTTCCACAATGGGATTAGGCCCTCAAACCAGTCCCTTGCTAAAAGCCCCGAGATTATTTTCTGAATTTGAAGATGTATCATTTATGTCCTGAACTATTTAACCCCCCCCCAAAGCAGAGCACAGGGTGTCCTGGGCACCCTGGCCTTTTCCACTGGAAATCTTGGCTTTCTTTAGTTGATTTGTGTGGAGGTATAATGCAGGCCAGCTTATCATGTAGCTTTTCTGATTTTGGAAGGCCCTGCTCTGACCAATGGAGGCCTGAACCTGCACAGCCCCGTGAAGAGGAAGCTGGAGACGGAGAAAGACTATGTCTTTGACAAGAGGCTCAGGTACAGCGTCCGCCAGAATGAAAGCAACTGTCGGTTCCGTGACATCGTCGTGCGGAAGGAAGAGGGCTTCACGCATATTCTTCTGTCCAGCCAGACTTCAGATAACAATGCATTGACACCTGAGGTAAAGAGCTTTGGGGGAGACAGGTGATTTCAGACCGCCTTCTCCTGGGTTTGTAATACCCTGTACTTGCTTGTCCATAATATCTACAGAAGCTTGGGGAATTAACCCATGCCTGGGTGTGGACGCTCTCTAGAGCAGTGGTTCTCAGTCTCCCTGTGCTATGAGCCTGTAATACAGTTTCTCATGCTGGGGTGACCCTCAACCATAGATTATTTTCATTGATACTTTGTAATTTTGCTACTGTTATGAATCATAATATAAATCTCTGTGTTTACTGATGGTCTTAGGCGAACCCTGTAAAAGGGTCATTCATCCCCCAGAGGGATCTCAACCCATAGGTCAAGAACTATTGCTCTAGAGCAACCGCTCTTCCAGGCTGGCATTGATAGGATGGCCTGGCATCCCCTGGTGCATCTGACACCCTTGGGAATGCCCTGAAGTGGTGGTGGAGGTGCCATGTCCTTGAACTTGTAACCACATGTCTTCTGTGATTTACATAGCCAGTGGCTCTTTTATGGGGTTATGGGTATGACAGTCCAGAATGATTGACAGATTGTGAGAATAGAGCTGACTGGTGCCTTTGGGGTTTATGAAGCAGTTGGTTGCTGTTACCCCTCCTATAAGCATGGAGTTTTGGGGGACTATCCTCACCCACTTTTAGCAGAAGCACCTAGGGTTTCTCTATAGGATCTAGAATGTGGGCTTCCCAATGGGCAACTCACCACAGGCACGTACACCTGGAACCCATGTGACTTTAAGCTCATTATGACACATCCACATGAGGCTGATTCTTACTGCATTTTTCTTACTTCACTGCTTTTTAAAAGCTTTTCAAAAGGCACATAAGTTTCCTTCCACGAATTGAATCAAGGTGACACCTCTCAGTTCATTCTGCCTCTGTGGAGCAGCTTTGGGTGGTAATGGGTGCCCACTCATCCAAAATGACACACAGTGCTCCACTGATCTGAGGTACCTGGGGGCCCCACCTACTGAGCCATGGGCTTGTCTTATGATGGCCTGCATCTCCGATCCACAAATGTCAGTTATAAGAATGAATTATGGATCCAATGATTTCAGTGGCTTGATAAGTCTGGTGATCTTGCACCCTGGGTTTGGTAGTCCCTAAAGAAAGATCCCACTGAACCCAAGAGATGGGGTTGGAAGACAAATGTAGATTTGGGAATCTAGCAACATGGATTCTAATCCCACCCCCACTTCTGTTGCCATTGTTACCAGGGGAAATTACTCTGCCTGTGCCCCACCTGTTTACAGAAAAGGCACTGTGACTTCCTTATTCGATTAGAGACAGCACATGGTGGTTCTCAGGAGCACCTGGTACCCAGGGCTGGCTATGCAGACTCTTGCTGTTGCTAAGGTGAAACCAAGGGTTCTCAGTGTCACCAGCAAGCCCACCTTGCTTGCTAGTGAACAGGCTGGAAGGGACCCTTTCATGGTGACAATTGAATTTTTTCTCTTGGCTGTACATGTGTCATTGGACAGATTGACAATACAAGTGAAAAATCCATTCGTGGCTAGAGGCATGGACTCAGTTCTGAGATCAGGTGTGTGGTGATATTCTTGTCAACAAAGGAATGGGAACAAGGCCTTCTGGAATGAGCCGGCAAGCAAGGCTTCACAATTCACAGCTTGTCCACTTTCCTGCTCGGAGAGGGGCCCAGTGCCTGCTTCCAGCCTCTGATTCTTCCAGTGCTCGTGGCCTCGGCCAGCACCACAACCCTCATCCACAGTGTTTGAAGCTCCCTTTCTGTTTTCCTGACAAAAATGCTTAAACCAAAAACAATTTAGTGGGAGAAAAAGGATTATTTCATCTTATACTTCCATGTCCATCATTGAGAGACATCGGGGCTGCAACTCAAGGTGGGATCCAGAAAGCAGAGACCTTGTTCTCTGGCTCGTGTTTGGCCAGCTTTCTTATACAACCAGAACCACTTTCCTTAGGAATGGTGTGGCCCACAGTGGCCTGTGCCCTCCTGCACCATGACAATTCCCACCAGACATGCCCACAGCTGATGTAGACAATTCACCAACTGAGCCTGTCCTCTCAGATGATTCTATGCCGCGCCAAGTTGACAACTAAAGCTGACAGGGACACATGGTAACAGGCCAGCCATGCAGGCGTGTCTACCATGCCCTGTTTGTCATACTGGCCATTCAGACTTCCCTCAAAGCCCAGTTTCATTCTGTCTGCCATGCTTCTGTCTGCCTCACATTGACTTTCTTCTAGTTTATCTGTAAGTTTTTCTTTCTGAATACACTTTTCCTCTGCTTGAATCCCATGCCTTTGTAGTTATATTTTTTGAGAGTCTTAGAGTGGTAAACTCTCATGTGCTGAAAGTACCCACATTTTACCCCTGCCTCTGAATGACCAGTTAGATTGGTAAAGAATTGGTCCTATAGATGTTTCTCTCAGCACGCTGAACACTATATTCACCTTCCTCTAGTGTTTGCTAGTGTTCTTTAGAACTGCCCTCTGGTTGAGGGTTCAATTTAGAGGTAAGATGTCTTTTGCCCCAGGATACTAGAAGATTTATCTTTGCTTTATCTTGGCTTTTAATGGTGTCCAGAATTCAGATATGTATTAGCAGACTTAAACCATTTCCTCCAAGAAGCTCCTGTCCTAATCCAACACCTAAGATGACGTCAGGTTACATGCCTGGGCATTAAAGTTCCAGAGGGAATGAAGGTTGCTCCTCAGCTGACTTTGATATGAATAGATTATTTTGGAAGGAAAGTTCTCCATGGTTTCAGTGTCACCTCAGGGTCCTTAGTGCAGAAAAGGAAGACAGAAGAGCCAGTGTCAGGGAAAGGCAGGGGGAGCAATGAATAGATTCAGCTGGCCATTGCTGGCTTGGAAGGTGGAGAGTGCGGCCAAGAGCTAGGGAACATGCGGGAAATGTTTTCTCCTTGTAGTGCCCAGGTCAGAGTACAGTCCACCTACATACATCCCCAGCCTCTGCTTTAGACACGGCTCTGCCTATTGTCTGTGACATTTGAAGGTGGCACCTTCAGCACTGTTTTAACCTCCGTGGCTTATGCTTGCTGTTACCACTGATTTGTTTTTACTGTTTCTCTGATCTGGGCTCAGGGAGACTCCTCAGATCTTCCAGTTTGCTTATTCTCCCTCCAGCTCTGTCTAGTCCAGTGTTAATCTAGGCAGTGATTCATGACTTTGTTGTCTGTGTGAGGTTTTCTTCCCTTAAACCCTTTCATATCATTCTCTGTTAGTTGTCATTTTTTGACCTGCCCCCTTCCCCCTTGTTTGACTATTTTAAACATATTTTAAACTGTTATCATCTCTTAGATCAATGTTTCTTGAAGTTGCTGTGTCCCTCCCATGTGTATCAGTTCATATTTCTCAAATGCTTGTCATTTTGTTGTGACTTCACCTGCAGAGGAGATTGTTTTCCCGTGCAGTCCTCGTGTGGCTTAGGTTTCAGTCTCTCTCAAAAGCTCTTCTGTGCTCATTTTTATGAAATGCTCCAGGGATATCACCAGCTTGCATCCAATTTCCATATCAACAAATTCATTAATTTTTAAAAGATACCACTTCTTATTCACACACACACACACACACACACACACATCTAGGTGTGGTTTTGTGCACATGAGTGTAGTATCCTCAGAAGCCTTACTGCTGGAGCTGGGGATTTTAGCAGTTGTGAGCCTCCTGACACAGACCCAGGAACACAGCTTGGGTCCTTTGCAGGAACAGTATGCAAGTTTAACTACTGAGCCATCTCCACAGTTCCCCCTCCTTTTTGTTTAATTTGAAGATTTCTCTTTCATGTGGTATTACATCTCAGAGCTTTGTGTTGGGGTTTTGAGCTCTCGTGGGAGATTTTACCTACAGAAGAAGTTCAGACAGCTGGCTCTGACTACGACGTGGAGGACCTGTGGTGGAGAAGCTAAAGATGGGCTAGACGGTTAGCATGAGACTAGAAGTTTTCTGACCGGGAAACCTGCATTTTGCAGCCTTGATACACTGCTGTGGGGTCATCCTGAATGCCCGGGCTCCCAGGAAAAAGTGTGTGGGCAGCATGGGCCATACTCATGATAGTTACGTGACCGGAACAAGTCAGAGTGTGGAGAACAGGTGTGTTCTCATCTGGTGCCAACCTTTGAGGTCCTGTATGCTACTTCTGCTTCTGTGCCCAGTGTGTGTAGCATGTGTGTGACAGAACACCAGCTGCAGCCCCTGGCTCTGAGACGACCTCAGTAGCCTGGGAAAGGGGAGGGTCTGCTTTCTCCTGTGCACTGAAAAGCTTCCCCACTGCTCCTCAGCCAAATGACTGTTTTACGAGAGGTTTAAATGTCAGAGCTAAGATGCTTCGAGACCGTCTTACCTTCAGTGAGGCTTATAGGCATGGGAACAGAGTAGTTTTCTGTGTAAGGTTGGAGGCAAAAGCTGTGAGAGTTACCAACTTGCAGCAGGTCACTTTTGAATGTCTATACCAAGCATTGTGGTAGTCTCAAGAACACAGTAGGGGCTAAGAAAGACAATATTCTAATCATTGTTCAAATCATGATCCAGCTGGGGCAAACAAGTGAAATTTCCCCTGTGGTTGCATGAAGAGAACAAGATGGTCTTAATCCAGAATTTACTGTCCCTCCCTGGATGTGGACTTCCTGGTGGCCTGGAAAGAATTCTACATGTTAAGACCAACAAATCCCCAATCTTGTGGATAATACATGGCAGACCATGAGCTTGGTCATGTTGCAATACTAAAGCTTGTTAACATAGGTCACCTATAACCCCTTCAAGGGTCTAGGGAGATAAAAACAAGAGAAAATTTTAACTGAACCATCTAGAGGCTTATGTAGCTCACCAAAGCTGTACACAGGACAATTTCCCCACACTTCGTAAGGGTTTCAGCCAACAAATACCAGAAGTGGGTCTGCAGAGGTTCATAGAGACTGACCAAGTCCACACCAGGCTCCCCAGTCTGGATCAGTGACCTCAGGACCTCCAAGTTGATCCTTTTGCTAGCACTGTGGGTGGTGCTGGAAGGTTTTGGTTATCTCAAGCTTCCTTCCTGGGTCTGGCCTGTGCTCTCAGATATTCAGAGCTCTGCACACTCACCTCTGCCTGCAGATCATGAAGGAAGTCCGGCGAGCACTGTGCAATGCAGCCACGGATGACAGCAAGCTGCTGCTGCTCAGTGCAGTGGGCAGTGTGTTCTGCAGCGGCCTGGACTATTCCTACCTGATCGGCCGGCTGTCCAGTGACCGGAGAAAGGAAAGCACTCGGATCGCAGAAGCCATCAGGTGAGTCTAGCATCTCTCTGAATGAACACTTAGGGAGCCTGCCAGTGATGACCAGATCTAGCAAACAAAAGTACAGGCTGCTCAGTTAAGCTTAAACTTCAGACAATGTGGGATTTTATTTTTAGTGTAAGCACACCCCTGGCAACATTTAGAACACCAGGACATACCTACATCTTAAAATTATTTTTGATTTACCTGAAATTTGATTCTTTTTTCAATGCCGGGGATCAAACCCAGGGCCATGCACATGCTAGACAAAGTCTCTGTCACTCAGCTCCATTTCTGTCTTTGAACTGGGGACCTACGCTGGACAGCCTGTCTTGTCTATGACCCCAGTGGCATGCTTTGCTCTCTGGGCTGCATTCCACTCCCCACCCCACCCACTTTTTTCCTCATTAAGGCCTGCATTGGCAATACCCAAGTTTCTTTGTGCTCCTGCCTTCTGTCTAGTGATGGTGTCTTTGGTTATATACACCATTCCTGTGTCCTGGACTTGATATGGCTCAAGTATAGGAAGACCGTGGAGAACTTGGGGCTGTTGTGCTTTGGTAGACATTATGGGTGAGGTTATTTCTGCCTCTCTAAGTCTGTGGGGGTCTTAATGGTGACACACAGGGACAACCATTAGCAACCCTTTCAGGACACAGGATAATTATCTGCCCATTTATGTATATGTTGTTTATTTTATGTGTGTGTGTTCATGTAAATGTGTGTGTAGCTGCATGTGTATATGTGTGGATACATGTGCGTACATGTGGAGGCCAGAGGACAACCTCAGTTGTTATTCTTCAGGTAACCTTATGACACATCCTTACAGCTTTTCACAACTGGCCTCTCAGATGAGAGTAGCATCTCTCTGGAACTGGTCTGATCTGTAGCTCAGATCTATTGAAGCTGAGGGTCAAGAACTTTTCTGCTCATCCTTTGCCCATCCCTCTGACTTGTTGGGGTCATAAGAGTGACAGTCTGTGCTATCTAGAGTTTTGAAGACCAAGTCATGAGAGAGATTTTAGGGTCAGATGGGGATGAAGACATTAGCCATAAGAAAACTGGAGCAGAAATGTGGCTAGAATCTGGGGCCTTTCACTTCTCACTCTCCTGGCTGAGTAAACTAAGGAACCCCAAAGTGGGCTTGAGGGGATGGGAATTGATGACAGCGTTGGTACCACCTCTGGAGACATGCAGTCTGTGGATCTCAGGCATGTGCCTTGTCGGTGGGCTGGTGTGCTCACACAGAATATAAGGACTCCTTTAAGATGCTGTGAGGGAATAGAATTTGCTTATTGTGGGCTGGAAGAGGCAGACCTAGGAGTGAGAAAGGAGGGATCCTTTTCATCACTAATTCTCAGACCTAACTGCATGGAGAGACAGGAGGGATGGAGCATTTCCCAAGCTCAGATGCCCCTGGGAGGTCCTGAGAACTCTCCTGTGGTGGGGTAGCATCTCCAAACGGCACAAAGTCATTCATGACTCCTTCATGTGGCTAAGAGAGAGAACACCTAACTTGGGTCAGACAGAAAGTTTCTCACTGGCATGGACTGAGAAAGTCAAAGAGACCTATTATTACCCACAAGAGAAGAGGTGGTTGGAAGAGAATGGAGAAGGGATCAAGGTGTCAGAAGGCTGAGAACTCAAAAGAGGGTAGGTAGTAGCACAGGTGACATGCTGCACAGAGTTGAGTGCCCACAGGTCAGAGAAAGACCCAGCCTCAATCGGCACACCTCGAGGATTCTCCTGCTCCCTCAACTTTGGACTGCTCCCTCAGAACCCGCTTTTCAGATGCATGACCAGGCAGTAATGAATTGCTCCGAGAGTCTTCTGTGGTCTTCCAGAGAGGCACCTGAGCAAACTGCACTGTTAGGGGTTTCATTCATCAGGAGCTCCAGCTCTGCTCCTGTGGACTCCACAGGTGCATTAATAAATTCATGAGCACAACAGTCTCTTTGTGAAAGTACCTTATTCATAACCCACCAGGGATGAGCTGTCCCTTGGAAACACATGGGAACAGTGCTCTATTTCCTTCATGCAAATGTCAGATGAGGGAAATAGCAGATGTGGGGAGGGCTCAGGGTGCTCATCAGCCTGTATCAGGACAGGCAACCTCACCTGTGCTGTATACAGGTGACAAAATGGCGTGTGCAGCATGGTATCCAAGAAGGGTAGCACCTGCCTCTGCATTGGCTAGTGGTGCAGCCTTAGATTCATCTAGATGACGGGAGTCGTCATCTGCATTTGTAGTTCTAGACTCTCTGGTGGGTTACGAGGATGGAAGGTGCTCATATACAGTCCCATGTAGGCTACTCATGGGACACATTAAGTGCTTAGAATAGATTTTAAAAATGCTTCCTTTGTGGACTAGAGAGGTAGCTCAGTTGGTAAAGTGCTTGCCATGCACTCAGAATTTATATTAAAAAAAAAAACAGGGTGTGAGAGCTGGAGAGATGGCTCAGAGGTTAAGAGCACTGACCACTCTTCCAGAGGCCCTGAGTTCAATTCCAAGCACCCACATGGCAGCTTAAAAATACCTGTAACTACCTTCAGGGAATCCGACACCATCACAGGCATACATCAGGCAAAATACCAATGCACATAAAATACAAACAAATATATCACTTAAAAACCGTGTATGATTATGTTTGTGTACTTGGCGTGAGAGTGGGACAGAGACTGACAGATCCCTAGAGCTTGCTAGCCAGTTAGCTTAGCCTACTTGGTGAATTCCAGGCCAGTGTGACTATGGAGTAGACTTCTGGAGATCCCTCTGGGCCTTAGATGACAGTTGCCATGTATGTCTGGTGCTCATGGAATGCCTGACAGGGGTCTGGCTGTCCTGACCCTGGTTAAAGGGAATGGGCATCTGGGTCTCAAGCGAAATGGTGATTGTTTCAGGTGAAACAGAGATGTCCCCAATGACAGCATTTTGCTTGAATCTCCTCTAGACTAGGAGAATGGACCCTAGACCACCATGAATCAGATGAGAACTACATGCGGAAACAGACCTGATCACAGCAGTCTGATCCATTATTCCTCATGTGCTGGGCATGTGCTACTCTTGAATAATTCTCATTTAGCTCTATGGGTGCCTGGCATTGACTTTCCCATTTTACAGAGGGTTAAGTCTGACCATTAGTGAGGGGCAGAGTTGAGATTTGACCTTGAAACTGTCACCTTTGTTGCTCCATGCCACATCAGGCATCCCACAATAGGCTCTAGACACAGGGCTTGGGCTGAGCACAGGGATCTACAAAGGGCCAGAGTCAGTCTAGGGTCTTAGACACAGAAGAAAACAGAGCAGTCCTTTAAGCCCAGACCTGCCACTAAAGTGGGATCAGATATCTGAGCGTTGGGTATGTAATGCAATATCCTGTTTGCTGTTTGGCTTCTGCATCCTTGGGGCCCTGAGATAGAGATCTTATGCCTGAGGTGAGAGAAAAGGATGGGAGGGTCCCAGACAGCACATTTACACCAGGGAATTGAAATGGAAGCAGCTGGTGGTGGAAGGACAGGGCTGTGTGCGATTCAAACCCATCACTTTCTCCAGGGTCCCTACTAGCCTTGCACAGAGCAAAAGTCTTTGGGTCCTGACATGGAAACCTCTGGAAGCAGTGAAGATTTCAGTAGGTCCCTGAACTGTCATCATGTGCAGTATTAGAGCACTGGCAATGCATACCAAAGGCCCACAGTGTGGAGGCTAATTTAATAGTAATGGACTTTGTGTAGCTGAGAACATCTAACAAATATGTGGCTGTGTACCAGGAGGGCTGTGCTGATGTCCCCAATATCCTCAGAGGGAGTCTGTACTGAGAGGAAGGTGTAGCTTGAGAAGTCTGGAAGGCTTCCCATGTCTTAGATCCTGGATTTTGGAATTGTACAAAAGTTCTTAGAAATGAGATGTCTAATAAAAATTACCCAATCCCTGGCTTCCCTAGACTATCCATGAAAGTCCTGTATCCTTGATAGACTCAGGTTGCATGAGCAGAAATAAGCCAGTGATCTAACCTACAACCCAACCCTGAGGGCAGGAAGGGAACTCAGGAGGATGGCCACTGCAAACCCAGTCATCAGAAGGTTGTAGTCCTGGGATTTTTCTCTTTGGAGCAGAGCTAAGAGTGACCACAGGACAGTGTGATATGCAATCTTGAGTCAAAACTGACAACTCCTGAGTGACTTACACAGATATTAAGTCCCCACCTTAGAAGAATATAAAACAATCTTTCTTACAGTAGAATTGGGTTCCAACTTATCACTGTTACACTCACATCTTTTGATAAGTGTTAGGAAGGGAATTATTGTCAACAGAAGATATTGACTCAGCTCCATGGATGTGCTAGTTGACCATTAACTGATATAAAAAATAATCTCCCGTTATATAATGGCTCAGAAGAAGCATAAATTTACTTCTTATACATAGAAAAGTAAATAACTTTGCTATCCACTCTATGACTGTTCTCCAAATAGAGAGAAGCCCAAAGAGGTTAGCTAGGACAGACCAAGGTCTGTTCTTGTAATGTTTTGGTAGTCCCCAGTTTTCTATCTAAGAATGATGGATCCTAGCTTAACTAGACATCTTGTAACTTCCCTCTATACCCACATGAATTTTAACATTTTACAGATGTTTGATAGCAGCTAAAGGAAAGGTGAAGAGCATTCAAAGGCAAAGCAAGTCATTTCTGGGGCCTGAGAGATAGTTCAACAAGGAATGCTTTCAGCTCCCCCAGATCTGTGTTCAGTTCCCAACCTCCATGTGAGGCAGCTCATGATCATGTAACTACAGCTCCATGGGGTCTGATGCCTCATATGGCCTCCACTGGCACCTGCACCCACCTCCCTCTCTCTCTCTCTCTCTCTCTCTCTCTCTCTCTCTCTCTCTCTCTCTCTCTCTCACACACACACACACACACCACACATAACACACATACACCACACACACACACTCACAAGAAGTCATTCTCTGGTGGCCCTGTTTGATAGGTAAAGACACATAGTCTGTGTTATAGTTATAGTCTAACGGTGATCGATGCAGTATATCAGGCAGTGTAAACATTACCCTATTCTTTAGCTTTGAGTCTAGAGGTTTCCTGATGGGAGCCCAGCATCCTACCCCATCCTAACACTAGACTTTCATAAGCACCGTAGAACCAACTTTGATTAACTGTGGCATACCTGCAAGTAATTCAGAACCAGACCATGCCTGGACCAAAAGAAATCTTAGTCATCCACTATCTTAAGCTTGAATTCCCTCTTCAGCATCAATCAAAGTGATCATCAAGCTAACAGCGGAATTCCTTTAGTGAAGTTATTCCTCATAATCTATCACATCTTGGTCAGTAATATTAGAACATTTGCTCTCCCTTTGAGATGGAATTGTTCTTGAGGGATACTTCTGAAGGACACCTCTCTTTTGGCTCTTGTTTGGAACTGTGATATTCCACTTATCTTCCTTTAAGTACACAACCTTGTCAGTATTTAGGGTGCCCATAGAACTTACTGCGCAGGCCATGGTTTTTGAGAGTAGAGGGGAGGTGACGATAACTGAGAGCATATTAGGCACAGACTAGGACTATCACTTCTCTCTTCTGAGAATCTGGCAACTTCGTGGTTCTGCAAGTAGGCTGTGGGCCTCTGGGTGGCCTCCACTTGCTTCTGATGTTCAGGACTTGTGCTGCAGCACCAGAGAGAGTTGGGGGTATCCAGATGCCATCAAATTCAAGTCATTTGTTAAAAGAGGCTCTTCTCTTTTTCCAGAGACTTTGTGAAGGCCTTTATCCAGTTTAAGAAACCCATCGTGGTAGCCATCAATGGACCAGCGCTGGGCCTGGGAGCATCCATTCTACCCCTCTGTGACATCGTATGGGCCAGTGAGAAAGCCTGGTTTCAGACACCATATGCAACTATTCGCCTCACACCTGCTGGCTGTTCCTCCTACACCTTCCCCCAGATCCTGGGTGTGGCGCTGGTAAGCCTCCTGTTTCCTACATAAATTCTCAATCTGAGATGCATGTGCCTGAGTCTTGACAGGACCCTTTTCCTGGGCTTAGAAAATGGCAGTGTCCTATGGGTGAAACCCAGGAATCCATTAGGCCTAAGTAATGTGCTTTCCTGTTCCAGAATTGCTGTGACTGAAGCCATGCTGATCTCAAACCACACCAATAGGTCTTCACAGTATTGGTGTCTGATGGAGTAGCTGTGCTGAGATGACAGTGACAATGTCTACTTATTATTTACCTACTGTGTGCCAGGCACCATGCACGCAGTGTCCCTTCTCTTACTCACCCCACTCTGGTAAAGCTATGTGTTTGGGAGAGCTGAGTGTTGTAGCCAACAGCCACAATTCTCAGAGTCTAAATATCAAGAACTGCCCCCACTGTTCACATAGCTTCTGTCCACCAGATCTATCCAGGGATGCAGGGGGAATCACCCCAGAGAATCTTCCAGGTCAGGCTCACTGGGAGTACCCTCTGTTCACTCACACATCACTGGCTAGGACTCTATCATGTGGCCACACCCCCTTGTAAGGGAGGCAGGAAGTACAGTTCAGCCATGCATCCATGCAAGAAAAGTGAAAGACATTGAATAATGGCAAAGCTGTCTCTACCCCTGTGAAAATGTGGATACGTCCATAATGTAGGTGGAACAGTGAGATCAGAGAAGCAAAGGCATTGTCACATGGCCAGGTTGGGCAGCTGGCGGTGCTGGTCCAGGTAAGCCATGGAGTCCACCATAAGTGGTAGCAGGACAAGTCCAGGCAGGACACAATAGTGGCAACAAGACATAGAAATAATTCACTGTTGGAGTCATACACAGCCCCATGAGGAGGATAGTTGTTATTACCAATGAATATGTATGGCAGACCAAGGCTCTGATGGGTAAGGGAACTTTCTAAAGAGGTACAGTGGGCTGTGGGATTTGTTCTGTTGGTCAAGAGCTTGCCACACAAACCTGAGAACCTTAGTTCAACTCCCAGAACCCACATAAAAAAGTATAGGCGTGGTGGCAGATGCTTGTCCTCTCAACACAGAGAAGGACCTAGATGGAGCCCTGTGGTTTGCCAGTCAAGCCAGCCTAGATTACCTGGTGAGTTCTAAGCCGGTGTGAGACATCCTTCTCAAAAACAAGGTAGATGGCACTTGAGGAATGACAGCTGAGGTTATTCTCTGACCTCCAGACTTATATGTAGAGCTGAGGTTATTCTCTGACCTCCAGACTTGTATGTACACACACACACACACACACACACACACACACACACACACACAAATAAAGCCTCATGATACAATGGTGGTCCTAGAGTTTGGAACCCCATGATTCACTGCACAGTTTGTGCTCTCAGCCCAGAATGTCATAAAGTAAGAACTACATTCCAGGTGCTATTCCAGCCCCATCTCCATTAGTCCAGCAGTAGCTGGGAGCCCAGAGCCATAGGCTGTTGAATGCCTCTGGTATGGAGGAGAGCCTGTGCAGTTAAGTGACTTGCCCAGAGTCTGCATAGGGACAAAACATTATGTTGATATTTTCATAGCTCTAGGGCGTGTCATTTGTTCTTATTGGTCTTTATCAGTGGTTCCCTGGCTTTGCTCGCTGCCTTGGGCTTCTAGATAACACCCACATTTCTCTTCAAAGTGAGCACTGGAAGAAAACTGTTGGAGGTACCTGGGAGACGCCCATGTATTCTGGGGCCTACCTGCCTCACATCTGCCATGGTGTAGGTTCAGGCAAGTGTGTGTCCATGTTCATAGTCAGACACTACTTTCCCCAGCTTCCTTTGAGGACATGGAAGATAGCCATTCTGTTCCCAGTGAGCTCCTATTTCTAAGCCTGTCCTGGTTTAGGTATCACTTCTTGTAGGCCAACAGATGGGACCTAGAAGCCATCTGGACTCAAGCACTGTAGGATGACTCAGGTGGCTTTGTTGTGGAACAAAGCTGGGAGGTAAACACTATCCCATTGACATCAGCCACATGCTCCCACTCAGGTCACTTTCTCTCCAGTCAGTTCCTCCTCATTTTTGTGGCCTTAAACATGAGGCCTCGTCTCTACCTTCCCACCCTCAGTCATTTCTATGACTCTAAAAATGAGCTGAAGGCCATGTGTTCTCAGCCGAGCTCTGTGTGGTTCCTGACCTGGTGAAGGAGAGAGAGAGACACAGCAGGGGCCTGTAGTTCCCCTTCAAATGTACACTTTGCCTCCAGTGACCTAAGCCATCTGCCAAGCACCCCATTTCTTAAAGGTTCACCACTTCCCTCAAAGAGTCAAGCCAAGGACCAATCTTTGAGCATCCAGAGCTTTGGGAAACACTGAAGCTCCTGAAGCACTGTGTATGACAGCCACAGATTTCAAAGCAGAGGGAAATCCTTTAAGGGATGGGGTGTAGAGGCAGCCCAGCCAAGGAGGGTGTGTTCCATTCCTCTTAACTGCATAGTACCTGTGCCTCAACCCGATGATGCTTCTATACCTTTGGGTCCCTAATGCTGTAGATATCTTTTTGGTACTTCATTTTTTTATTTTTATTTTTAAATTTAAATTAGAAACAAGGTTGCTTCCCATGTCAATCCCAGGTCCCTCTCTCTTTCCCTCCCCTCCTCCCACACCCTCCCACCAACCCCCCAATATCCCCTCATTTCCCCAGGGATGGTGAGGCCCTCCATGGGGGTGTCCATAGTCTGTCATTTCATCCAGGGCAGGGCCTAGACCCTCCCCCAAGAGTCCAGGGTGAGAGTGCATCTCTCATTGTTGGATAGGCACCCAAAGTCCATTTGTATGCCAGGGATAAATACTGATCTACTACCCAAGGTCCCATAGATTGTTAGGCGTCCTCACTGAAACCCACATTCAGGGGGTCTTGATCAGTCCCACGCTAGATTCCCAGGCATCAGTCTGGGATTCAAGAGCTACCCCTTGTCAGGTCAGCTGTTTCTGGGGGTTAAACCAGCCTGGTCTTAACCCCTTTGCTCATCAGTCCTCCCTCTCTGCCACTGGGTTCCTTGAGTTCAGCCCTGGGTTTTTAAAACTTAATGATTCTTACAAGATTTTTACTCTCTCTCATTCCATCTCTTTCCCATCCCTCTCTGGTTCCAGCCCTTTTTTCTTCCCTCATGAACTCATTTCTCTTCTGAGAGGAACTTGTCTCACTATCTTAGTTGGAAAGTGATAACATGTGCATAGATCACCCCCCCCCTTCGTGGGCCATTGCAGGGCCAGGCTATCAGCACTGAAGTGAACCTCACAGGTGTGCATTCCCACCCAAGGGTCGGCTACTGTCAGGTTCACAGAGCTTCAGAAAACCCATTGGCTTCTTTTGACAATTTAATGAAAGCTGTGACAGATGTGTGTATGCATTTCATACAGTGCATCTGACCCTAGGTCATGAATACTGCCTCAGAGAGCAGAGACACTCATGCACAGCTGTTCTGGGGCTCCCTAAGGAACATGGGCAGAGCTCTGTGCCCTCAGCTTTCCCCACCTTTGTTCTTTCAGGCCAATGAAATGCTGTTCTGTGGGCGGAAACTCACTGCCCAGGAGGCATGCAGCCGGGGCCTAGTGTCTCAGGTCTTCTGGCCCACAACATTCAGCCAGGAGGTCATGCTGCGGGTGAAGGAGATGGCATCCTGCAGTGCTGTGGTGAGTCCCTAGGTTGTTGATGTCTGTCCTAATGAATAGACCGTTTTGTGTGTGTGCATGCAGGTGGAGTCCTGAGGCCAACGTGGAGTCTCTTCCTAAGTCATCTCTACCTTATTTTTTGAGACAAGACCTCTCTCAAAACCCAAAGTTTGCCAGTTTGGTTCAGCTGTCTGGCCAGTGATCCCCAGGGAATCTTCCTGTCACCACATCTCCACCACTAGGATTTTAAGTGTGTACCACTATACCCAGCATTTTCCATGGGTTCTAGGTCCTCATCTGTATGTGACAACTGAGCTGTCCCCATCCCCATCGTCCCCTAGAGGATCTGCAGAGTCAGTGAGAGGTTTTCTGCAGTGTGGGATAAACTGTCTCTTGATACTGAAAACCCAACTTATTAGAGGAAAATGCCCAGGATATTGAATATTCTTATCCACACCCAATTGGAAGAGGCTCATGGGGGAGAAAGCCCTGAGCACTCACAGAAGCACCAAGTTAAATCTTCCAAAGAAAGGGAAACCCCAAGACAGTACAAGTCAAGGCATGAAACCGGCCCAGGGTGAGAGACCAGAGAACACCGCCACTGTGCTTTATTTCTGTCCAGCCTAGTGCTCGACACATCTAAGCATCACTCTCTGACTTCAGAGGTACGATAAAGAAGGGATGAGCCAGGCCTCCACAGAGGTGCTAGGTTTTAATTAAATGTTGATTTTGATTTCATGACAGAGACTCTGAGTGTAAAAGGGGACTCAAGCCTCAGGGCCAGTTTCCCAGTGAGACATGACACTGAGGGATAAGGTCCTATACTCTTGTCCTTATGAAATAGAGTGCTGGGCTGGGTGTGTGGGCCACACCTCTGCATCACATGCCTTCTGCCCCCATAAGTATCCCACCTACATGTCCAGATTCTGTTGGCATGGACATCACCCATCCTCTTCTCATCAGCCATTCACTAGACACCTACTGTGTGCACCCTAACAGTAATGCAGCTCAGCCGCTAATGATGGTCTCCATATTGGAATATGGACCATGTGCCTTACTGATTTTATGCAGATTATCTTTGAACTAATGACTGGGGTTATTCACAATGAACCTTGGATGGGGTGTTCAATACAAATAACTCCATTCATGGCATGGGATGATTTCAAAACAATGTTTTGCCAACTTTGTCATGAAAATCATAGAAAAATAGCACCAAGAGGCTATGGACACAGCTCCATGGGCAAAGTGATTGCTCTGTAAGCATGGAGACCTGTGACTGATACTCCAGAAACTATGTGTATGTTTACTGTATGTGTATGTGGTATATGTATGTATATACAGATGCACCAGTGCTGAAGAGGCAAATGCAGGCAGATTCATGAGCTCACCAGCTATTGCTCTACCCAATGTACAAGCACTAGATTCAGTGAGAGACCCTGTCTAATAGAATAAATGAAGAACAGTTGAAGAAGATGTTGATCTTGATCTTAGGCCTTTGAATATATGCACACCATACCACAGAGCACACACACAGAGAGACAGAGACAGAGACAGAGACAGAGAGACAGAGAGACAGAGAGAGAAAGAGAGAGAGAGAGAGAGAGAGAGAGAGAGAGAGAGAGAGAGAGAGAGAGAAATAGTAATAGTATCACTTTTGGATAAAAAGCAAGGCTCCTTTGACCTGAGTACCATGCCTCTCTCCCCAAGTCATTTCATGGGTGGATCGCTCAACACCTTGACCACTTGGAAGCCATTCAGGGCAGTGCTAATAAACAAACTAGATGACCCAGGCTTATGATGAATGCCCTCCCTGGCTGTGGACACTGCAAGACTATAGAGTCAGAACTCACCCTAAGGCTGACTAACCCAATGTGTGCATTTCCTTCCAGGTTTTAGAAGAGTCCAAATGCCTGGTCCGAAGTTTCCTGAAGTCAGTGCTGGAAGACGTGAACGAGAAGGAATGCCTCATGTTGAAGCAGCTCTGGAGCTCATCCAAAGGCCTGGACTCTCTGTTCAGCTACCTGCAGGACAAAATCTATGAAGTTTGAAGGGCCCCAGCTTCTGAGCCCCATTGCTCAAGGGTACCTGACTTCCAGTCGGGCCCTGTGTTTTTACCATCGGAGCCCAGGGTCCACCATAGCCAAGAGTTTGTCAAGGTGTGTCTTTACACCTAGGGTTGTGTTCATTCCTCGTGTCCTTTGGTTGTCTCTCATTGGTTTGATTTTGTGTAACGATGGGAAATGCAGCACCCTTGGCCTCCCCGTGTCCCTCTCCCAGCCGGCCATAGAGATTCCCAGGGTTACACCTTCCCAGGGCTCTGCCAGGCACTGCTGCCCTTTCCCCACTAGCTGAAACGCTCCACCACCATGGTCCAGAAAGGGAAGATCAGCCTCCCCTATCCTCCTGACTCAGGCTGTGACTACACAGTGCCTCCAACTTGGAGATGAGACCATCATGGTTCTCTGATTAAATGATCTGGGATCAGGGGACAATCATCTTAGGGAATTCACAGGCCAACAAGCACGTGGCTAGCACATGACTGTGTAGGCCTGTAGGCCCGGCTTCAGTTTCCTTTCCAATGCAACTCGGTGTGACTCGTAGGGCTTGGTCTTAAAACCCAACTGAGTGATTTACAAACCCAGATATTGTACATTTAGAAATGTTTTGTTAAATATATATTTTTTAAAAAATGTAAGTGGAAATTCTGATAATTTATGTGTATTATATGTAAAGCTAGTTTTGCAAAAACAGGAATTACTAGGAAATTTTTTTCTTTATTCGGATTTATTTTATTTATTTATTTTTGTTTATATATTATGAAGTCTATTGTTCACACAGATCTTATTTTCATACTACCCTGGACCAAATACTATTCAAGGTTCACGCCATTTGGTGCACTCTCACAATGAGCCATGTGGGAAGTTCAGAGATGAGAATGGAAGGATCTTTGTGGATTTAAAATGAACAACACTGTGTCAGGTCCTCTCCATGCCACTCTTACAACATGACATCAGTTCTCTAGTCTTGTTTTTAGGACAAGTCATGGTGGCATTTTTCTTTTACTCACTGTCATTAAGGAGAATCGAGGACTCTTGTCACTCAAAGCAGGACCCACTCCTTAAATGTGTAATGTTAAGAAAGGATAAGGGTGCAGTACCGTTTCAGGATGAAACATTGCCTAGGAGAGACATTCTTTTGCTCTGGGAGAGATGAGTAAATTTGGATTTCTAAGACCTTTCCTGCCATATGTATGTCAAGGTCTCGGTTGGCCTTCTGGGAGTGTTGAGAAAAAAACTCAAGTCTTGGGAGTTTCTGTAGGGTCCAAACCATTTTGCTTCCGGAAGCCTGAACAATGAATCTTTTTTTTTCTAGCTGGGAGAATACTAGGGAGCAGTATCTAGCATGGAGGTCTCCTTGCCTCAATGGCCCTGGGATACCAGAGGCCTCCAGAAGCTGGGTTTGTGGATCCAACTAAAGTTCCTGGACCTGCATGGGAGGGGGTGGGGAATTTGGGTTTGAGTGGATAAAGACAGGAAATGGAGGGGATCCATTGTGCCTGGAGCCTCAAACCTAGTTGAGAGCGTGTGCTCAGAGAAAATTAGACCATCAGGGTGCCTGGATAGTTCTAGATGTATTCCAACCTTGACCTCTGTTCTTTCTCTCCATTTCCCTCTGAGATTCCAGCCTTTCTTTGCCGTTCCTTGTAGACAATGGGATGCAGCACTGAGTTGGCCCAGTTTGTGGAGAGGAGGTGGGCTGCAAAGGGGGTTCTCTACCTGCTCTTGAATGGGAATAGCTACCCCAGTCACAAGTGGAAAGAATGTGTGGCCTTGAGCTTTGAATGACACAGGTAGCTGAATGTTTGTATGAGAACTGGCGAAATGGCCCTCTAAACAGTGGCTCCGGCATGTACTTGACCTTGTGGTCCTTAGGATGACCTTGCTTCACCCTATAGAAAGTGTTAGATGTCAGAAAGGTTCAGGAAGAAAGGAATTTCACTTCTCCATTCTCTTTCAGCCTGTGCCACCTTGGCCATAAGGAGCCTGTAAGTACAGCCACCTTGGCTGTGTTCAGTCACAGAAAAAATGGAATTGAAGTCTGTAGCTCCCTGTAGGAGCTATACATTGGGGTGTAGAGAATTAATATTGGAGAACACCTGATTCTATCAGGTGCCTGTTGTTGAACTTTCTCCATTAGATGAGTTCTCCACACCCTTAAGATGACCGTTGTCCTTGTACATCTTCACTGTTGTGCCACCTGTATAGGACCCGCCCCCTGTGCTTTCTAAACAAAGCCTGTGCTTTCTAATCAAGGTGGTTTTGTCCATAGGGAGGCAAGGGGTCAGAATTCTTTCTGGAAATGGAAGGGGATTTTTAGAAATTTCTGTTAATGGCATCTGTCTTCAATTCCTTTTGATACAGTCAGGATTGCTTTAGCTTTGGATCTTTGATGAACACCAAACCTCTGAGTGTATCAAGGACTTCGATTACTGAGGTAGACTTGATACCATTTCCAAAGTGGAATTCACACTGCTAGTTTTAAAAGATTGTTTCCATCTGATTGCATCAAGGCCTTCACCTAAGGTAGTTCTACCACCTGGGCACAAGCCATTTAGTCAGTCTGCTACAGTTCTGGCTGAACCACTGGAATGGCTAGTTTCAGGGTAGTTGTTGTGGTAGTGTGTAATTGAAATGCAGATGACCTCCAGCACATTGAGCTGGGATAGAAAGTACCAGCCCCATGATTGTGTTCAGATTATCTTAAAAGCTTTATTGAGGTAGGGTGCTGGTTTCCATCTTGTACCCTAGAGTCTCCTCTCATGAGGTCTTTCTGCTTGTCCCTTTTTTCTTCCTTGTTCCTTTCTCATGCTGTCCTTTCCTAGGGCCCAGGTAAGTCTTCAAGAATTGTAGATGGTCTTGGAAGGCCCAACTCAGAGTTCCTTTTATTTGAAAGGACAGCTATGGGTGAAGAGTAGAGAGTGCCTCTTCTGAGTCAAGATCTCTTCTAGAAAGCCACTTGGGACTCCCCCTGTCTGCCACAACCTTGGTTATGGCAACTTCCAGCATGATGGTATGGCTCTGCTAGAGTTAGATGCTTTGATCCCAGGGGACTTCTGAAGAATTATGGTTACAGTGGCCAGACCACCTCAGCACATGGAAGCCACCTTGTAATGTGGACATTCTTCTATTAAGGTAACCCTCTCCCGCTTAAAAATAAAGTCTGAGGTGAAACACGTATGCTGAGAATGAAGTAACTATGAGAAGGAAGCATAGATATGAATTAAAATCTATTCTTTGGCATAGATCAAATTGGGAATTGTCCTCTCAGAAGCATGAAAAGATGATTTTCCCATGTGAAGTTCAATATGAGGATGGGAAAATAATCGCAGTAGACTTTGAACAATGCAATTTTATCTCCAATTCCCTCTTTTACAAATAGCCTCTGCTGAATGCTGAATTGTATCCCCCACTATTAACCGCTGGTTTCAAAAAATCTCTTTTGAAGTTTGTAATTTTTTTAAAATTTGGAATTTAGTCCCATTCACACTCTTTTTCAATCTAGTTTATGTAGGAGATTTTTTTAGTAGAAAAATAGCAACATCCTCAAATCTTCCTATGGGAAAATTTAGAAGGAAGGCTCACTTCTCTCCTGTGTTTCTGTATTAAGATATTTAGATCTGTTGTATATATGAGTCAAGATGCCCTCACTAATATACACAGTATTTAAGACTCCAAATGAAACTTCTTAAGTATTTTATTTTATTCTCTGTAAATGGTTTTGTAAAATCTTGAAAATCTACACTTTGCCTTTGTAGATACATCTTTGGGGGCTTGTCTTGCATGTGTGTTTTTTGTTGTTATTGTAGCTAAGTGCTGCTTAGTTCTTTCTGCGGGTTTTGGTTGAAATGCTTATAGACTTTAATACAGTATATATATTTTCAGAATATAAACTTTTATATTTCTGTGGTAAATTAGGACATGCGTTTTAGGCAATCTTTTCCATTAATATCACTTCTTCCTTCAAAAAAAATATCTCATACTGGTTTGGTGCCAATTTTTTTTTATCAGTCTTACATTATTAAGAAATCAAGTCAGTTTTTTTATAGAAGTCATTGCGCTTGAAATCTAATTTGAAAACGTATTGAATTTGTGGAATAAGCCTTACCATTAGGTTCAATAATCCTTCTGATCTTCAAAACTCCATGTGTAGTTCAAGAACCCCCCCCATAAATTCTTACTGCGTGGCAGTTGATGGAGTTGTGAACAGAGCCTTAAGGTTATTGCAGAAATAAATAAATAAAAGGATAATACGGGTTGTTTCCTCCATGTAAGCCATGATGGTGGGCTCATTGAAGTCTGTAAGTAGCTCATGGCTAATCTGAAGTGAGTGATGGAGTTGATGGTGGCAGGGATCAAGTGGATTCCTTGGTAAATGTCTTTGGCCATAAGACTGGACCAAGGACAAGTTTTCTGAACCACTTTTATTCTGTTTTAGAGATGGTAACAGGGAGGGCTGCTGACTCATCATTTGTTCTAAACAAATGACATTTCCTGCTTCTGACCCTGGTGGGGATCCTAGGTTCCTTGTGGGTGACCTGAAAACGTCCAGAGTAGCTTAAGTCGGCACTCTCTGAGAGATGTTAGCAAAGTTTACATAAGAGTCTTACTGTATAGACAATCTGGAGTCAGTTTTTGTTCCATCATTGGCATTGCCATGTGTCCTTGGTGTTTCTGTGAGGAATTGTGTGTCAAGTCATACTAAACTGGAATTCTCCAGGATGGATATACTACTGTAGGTACAGAGCATGAGCAGCAGGCAAGCTGGTCTATCCAGGGCTTTTTCAGTGGCACAGAAATCACAGATGTTATTGGCAGTGGGTCCTATGTTTCTTGGAATCAAATAGAGTTAAATCTCAGAAATTAAATTACATGTTTTTGGTAGGTGGTACTCTAGCCATTCTCCTTATTAACCCTTGAGATAGGATCTTGAGTTCACGATTGTGTGGCTAAGCATGGGGTCCATCTCTAGGAAGTGTCCAGTCACCTTCTCAGCCATTAGCATTGAGATTGGCATGTGCACAGAATCAGTCAAAGGTCCTGACATCTAGGGTTAAGCTTCATCCTTACACCTCTTTGTTCCAACATCTAGTCTGATGCTGGAGCTTGTCAAGTTGACTCTGGGAAGTTCAGAGGGTGTAGAGTTTTCCATCCAGTATTCAGTTTGCCATTGTGCCATTAGTTCTAGCTTGAAGTTATTTTCTAATGTCTAGATTGACAAGATAGTGAAAATAACTGCCTTTCATAAAACCAGGGACCAAAGAATTCCATTATTCCAACCAAGCATGAGGTTCATAATTGTTAGGCACATCTGGGTCCAGGTGTGTGAGCTTCGTGGCACAGAGGAACCCTTGGTTCCCCCAAACTCATGCTCCCCCTGACTGGCCATGCAGAGAAGAAGTTGAGTATCTCATTGAATAGGCTCTGAAGGAGAGTTTCTGAGATTGGAACTTAGTAACTCAGGTGGGTGTTTCTGCTGTGTAGTCTCAAGTTTTTATTTACCCCATTATAAAGTGGAGCTCTGGGATCCTGCCAGATGTCTGACCACAGTAGACTCTTTCATTTACATGTGGACCTCCAGCTGAAGATTTGCAGCTAGGTCTCCAGGGATGCATCCTGTGACTGCCAGATGTCCATCTCTTTAGTTCCTCATCAAGCCATTCCATTTCCTGCTTGATAGAGCAGGAATTTTCCTCAGTGCCCCATCAGGGGATGCCCCATTCTCATTCTCATTCATGATGATGTCATTGACTTCTTAACTAATCCAGAGATGACTGATGTTAAAGAAGTGCTATTCTATTGGTAAGGCTTATTACCAAACTTCTGATAATGAAGCAGGCTACCAAATATGTATCCAGCTCACCCTAGGAGTGTTTGGGTTTGATCATGGATATAGCATACACACCAAAATCCATGGATACCTTTGCAAGTTAAGTTACTTATTTTCTTTTGCCACATTTTTATGGGAGAGTCCTTAGTTCTGGATACTTGTAAGTATGAATCCTTCATAGAGTTATATGCAGGTATATCTGGCCCATTCTCCACGTTGTAAATATTTTTCCCAAACTGGGTACAGTACTGAGGGTAATAATCTTCTGATTTATCAAATGCTGACTGTCTGGAGCAAATCGTCCACTCTTTGTGAATGGTCCTGTAACGTATATGAACATATTTCTGGGTGCCTTAGAAGTTGTATTTTCATGTGTGCTAATATGCAGTATTTATACATTGTGAGAAGCTGCTTTGAATAAAAAGATTGAAACTTCGTCTCCATTTGTTTATGTCCCTCCCATCCACCTCTCTCCCTCTTTGGTGATCTATCTGTAAAATTCACAAATGGGTTATGTAGTTTCAAAATAGAGAAGTTTCTGGATCCTTGGAGGTTGTTCCAGGGTTCCTGGCAGCCTTGGCTCCTCCATCCAAATATGTCCTGAAGCTTCTATTGTTCAGAGGCAGTCACTTGGGTAGAGGGGCAACAGTTGGATACCAGAGGTCTTAAGAATGGAGGGGACAGTTTTTCAAGGAGCTAATATGGCATTTATCCCTTCCTTGACATACTCACCATGCTCTATAATATCATGGCCCCTATCCTTAGTATACACCATCCATAGAGATCAATCTTGTACAGTTCTAGCTGCTTTGCATGGTCATCAGGATGGCTATCACTATGGATAGAGTCTTCCCATACCCATAATCTTGTTGCTTTGTCTATCACATAATGAAGACACAAATGGAGGAGAACCCTCCAGAACATGGCCTCACACACTGGGGAAGGGTATAGAAAAGAGGTAGTATCGGAAATGTTCATGGGTTTTGTGATAATGAATTTTGGGAAAGGAATTTATATAAGACCATCTACCTGTCCATCCATCCATGTACCCACTCTCCCAGATGTTCATCTACTCATCCATCCACCCATTCTCCCATTTGTACTTCTGTCAGTTTGTCCATGTACCCATTCCTCCACCCATCCACCCACCCATCCATCCATCCATCCCACCTCCCATTTACCTGTCTGTCCTTCCATCCATGCACCCACCCTTCCATCTGTCTGTCTACCCACTCACCCACTCTTTCATCTGTTGATCCATCCACTTCCCTGCTTGTCCATCCTACTGTCCACCTGTCTGCTATTCATTAATCTGTCATTTAGCTTTCATTTCAGCCCCCTTGAAAGAACCCTGTCTGGGAAGCCACAGGTTCCATGATACATAGTTGACTCAGCTCTTTTCTAAAGGAACTTGAAGTCTAGGAATATGAGAAAGGTTTAGAAGTCCTCCCCCACCCTTTTTCCTGAAATGTCAACACAGGGCTAGAGAAGGCCCATTCTTACAGCATCACAAACATACTAGAAGCTGAGAAGCAAATATAGTGTGCATTACTTAGACTCAATGCTGTTGCCTTTCAGTGTGTGTAGGTCAGTCAGCCTGGGGATCTTATTCTCTCCCCCTTTGGTTTGCTGTCACCTCTTCAGGGTAGTCACTGTGGCTTTGAATGCTTCTTTACTCTCAAGTCCTGACTCTATTCAAGATATGAAGGGGTCAAAACCAAACCTGAACAGTCCTGTGACTTCAGACTTCTGTATTTCTTCAGGAAGATAGGTTGAGACATTGTAGAAGTTTTGTAAGAATCCTTGGCCCCTCAGGCTGTCTCTTGGGTTACTTTGATATGATGTTTTATGTAAAACGCTGCTTGCCCTAACAGGACAAGAGAATAATGTGGCTGTACCTCCCTCCACAGCCACAAATAACAGCTAGAAGATGGGCAGCACACAAATTAGCAAAGATGAGATACATCAATAATAGCCCCTTTCTTCTTTTGAGATAAGGTCTCATGTATCCCAGGCAGGCTTCATATTTGCTGTATAGGCAAGGATGACCTTGTTCTTCTACTTCCCTAGTACTGACATTATAGACCTGCTTGATTATGTGGTGCTGAGGATGGAATCCAGGGTTTCCTGCACACAAAGCAAGCGTCTACCAACTGAGCTATATCATCTGCCCCTATAAAAGCAGTTCCTTTAGATCTGCTTAATGATGGGGCAGTCCTATGATCCTTGATGAAACCCTGATGAGGTTCAGTACCTTCCTGTCTCATGGGTAAAAAGTTCTCACGGTCACAAGCACTGACTCAGTTGTCGTCAGAAATAAGCATGATGCATGTTAGGTGTACTGTTCCCAACTCATCCAAGATCATCCCATCACTAACTGGCCCCTGATTGGTCTAGTTGAATGGAAAGAACAGGAAAGTCCTTACACACTAAAGTGGCAATGTATTTAGATAGGGGTTTTTTATTCTTTGAGCTTTAGAGATGTTTAACTCTTATTCTCTCATGGAATTTTATGGGTTTTTAGACTGGACAGTCCCCTGGAATTGCCAGATAGATTGTTTTTTCAATCCCCTATTCCTCATCAGCACCTTATTGGAAGTCTGTCCACTACAAACTTTTCAAACTGGGTGTCCTCCAAGTTCTAGAGATGATGTATAACCCCCTTCATAAAATGAGAGGGAAGGCTTTTCATTTATTTTCTGTTCTGTCTCACCTTCCCTTCCTTTCCCTCTCCCCCCCCCACCCCGTGTCTGTGTGTGTCTGTGTATCCTGTACTTGTTAGAGAAATCCTCTTAATTCCTCTGGGTACACAGACCACAACTAAAATCTGCCAGGCTCTTGCAGCAATGCCTATGCGTGGGCAGGTCTCCAATGAGAGGCACCTTGGAGGGTTTTGGAGATTAGGACTTGAACTTTCCCTTCAAGTGAATCAGAAAGCCCGGGAGAGTTCAGGAAGGCTTGGCCTGGGCTGACTTGCCGCTTCACAGATTTTCTCCTTTACAAAAGCAGAAGGTAGAAGCAACGGCAGCACTAGGAGGGTTGGGGAAGCTCCCTGTACCCCTGAGGGAGTTCTCCAATTTAGGGATTTACAGGAAGGTTGGTTGTAGAATCAGAGAGAAGGGTCAAGATCAGGGGGCCAGAGGCTTGAGCTTGAGCACTGACCAGATAGAACAGCTGCTGATGAGACAGGGAAGGTTCTAGGACTTGTGTTTGAAGGAGGGCTGCATGTAGGCCTGAGTGGGACTTGTGGTGGGGAAGGGCTGTGTGTAGGCCTGATTGTGGTGGGGGAGGGCTGTAGGTAGACCTAAGTGGGATTACCAGGAGCTCAGCTCAGCCTGGCCTCACAGGCACCAGGTAGGTGGTCCTACTTAGCCCAAGGGCAGCATCGCTGCTGCTGCTAGGAAGTTAAGGGACAGACAGACAGACAGACGGACAGACAGATGCACATACACACAGGTAAACCAAGGCACATACCCACAGACATGCACAGGTATGCATATTTGTGTCTGTGCTATGTATGTATTTAAATGTGACATTAACCTGTGAAACCAAATTATTTATGATATATGAAACAGCTGTTGGCATATAGTCACTTTAATCATTTAAATATGAGAGTCATATATAAATGACTAAAAGTATATTCAGAACAGTTGCTAACATTTAGTTACTATTTAATGATTTAGCAAGATTTTAATATGTATGTATTTATTTGTGATAGTATTTATACACCATACGTAAATTTGGCTATAGGTGTCATTATATATAGTTTTAAAACAGTTATTCCTACAGTAACTAGAGACATGTATATATGTGGGTATATGAGAGCTTATGTAGATGAAATTTATGCAAATTTATGCCAGGTGTATTTAAATGAGCTATGTGCATATACACTCTCTATATATTGGCACCTGGTCATTCTTTGAAGATTAAGTGAGCTTTACATATATGACTATATTAGATTATTGAAAACAAAATAGTATCCAGGCGGTGGTAGCACTAGGGAGGCAGAGGCAGGAACTCTGTGAGTTCCAGACCAGCCTGGTCTACAAGAGCTAGTTCCAGGACAGCCTCCAAAGCAACAGAGAAACTCTGTATCGAAAAACTAAAAACAAACAAACAAAAGAACAAAATAGCAATGGGTAAGCACACACACGCACGCACACGCACACACACACACACACACATATATAAACATATACACACACATATATATATAAACATACATATATATATATATAACTGAACATGTATTTGGACAGTTGGTACTGTGCTTAGAATTAATCATTGATGCTGGCAAGTGTCTGGGGCAGGGTTGGAGTCCATAGTTTGGAATTTTGCAAAAGTATTTTGGTGGACCACATGTAGGTATTGGGAATAGCTTAGAGAGCCTGGGGGCAAGCCTGGGCATTGATAAAGTTTGCTGACTTCCCAGGTAAGTCTCTGCTTCCATCCACTGAGCATTGTTTCCAAGACAAGCTTCCTATCTGTGCAGCTGGAACCATCTTGCCTCATAGTTGGGTCTCCATGTCTCCCTCATCTGTATGCAGGGCTCCCAGTCTCGTTCTCAGAATGCATTCATATTGGTGTGTGTGTGTGCCCTGATGTATCTTCCCTAAGAATTTCCATAAAGGATCCTGGCCAGAATATCTCAGACACTGAGTTTCCAAACAGATTTGATTTCTCTTCACTGTCCAAACCACTTCTAGAGACATTGGGTAAGGGATGGTCTAGGCATGCTCCTAAACTGGACCTTAAGCTGAGTTTAGAAGTGAGGATCAGATAGTCTTATCTGCATCAATTATCTAAGAACCAGAATCCAGGAACCAAGTGGACATGGAGCATAGGCTCAACAGCACAGAAAGTAGGAGGCTGAGTCCAAACACTAGAATGGACCCTGTCATCATACCCAAGGATGGGAATGGAAGGCTCTTGGGACCAGGTTTGCAGAAGAGCCTATGTACACAGAAATACACAGAAATCAATGATGCTTTAGCCCACAGAGATGTTGATTTGCATCAACAGTGGGGTGATGTGACTCAGACAAACAGCTAGAGAGATCAAAGCCCAGAGTGTTAGAGTCTTGGGTTTTATTGGAAAGGACAGTCTTGCATTAAAATCTCTTATTTGGTTTTGTCTGATGTTTCTAGTGAGGCTGGAAAGATGACTCAGAGGTTAAGAGACTACACTGCCTTTACAAAGGATCCAAGTTCAATTCCCAACACTGGGTGGCTGACTTAAACTCCAGCTCTAACCAGTGGCCTCCAAGGGCACCAGCACTCATGTATGCATACCTACACACAGGCACACATGTATGTGTATAATTAAAACTAAAAAGCAACACCATTTAGAATATGTCATTTAACTTTAGTACACTGCATCATGGGCACAAATTTCCTGGTTATGCAGCTAGGACCCCTACTGTATCTACCACAGATA